ACCTATTATGGCATTTCCATAGCCATTCCGAGATATATTGCCATGCAACTTCCATCGTTCCATTTTGTTATGACACATACCATCATTATCATATTGCTTTGCATGATCATATAGTCGACATAGTATTTGTGGCTTGGCCACCGCTCATATTTTTTTATACATGTCACACTTGATCATTGCACTCCAGGTACACCGCCAGAGGCATTCATATAGAATCATATTTTGTTCTAGTATCGAGTTGTAATTCTTGAGTTGTAAGTAAATAAAAGTGTGATGACCATCATTATTAGAGCATTGTCCCATGTGAGGAAAGGATGATGGAAGCTATGATTCCCTCACAAGTTGGGATGAGTCTCCGGACTTTATAAAAAAATAAAAGAGGTCAAAGAAGCCCACAAAAAATAAAAGAGGCCAAAGAAGCCCACCAAAAAATGAGAGAAAAAGAAAGAAGGGACAATGTTAATATCCTTTTACCACACTTGTGCTTCATAGTAGCACCATGTTCTTCATGATAGAGAGTCTCCTTATTTATCACTTTCATATACTAGTGGGAATTTTTCATTATAGAACTTGGCTTGTATATTCCAATGATGGGCTTCCTCAAATTGCCCTAGGTCTTCGTGAGCAAGCAATTGGATGCACACCCACTTAGTTTCTTTTTGAGATTTCATAAACTTATAGCTCTAGTGCATCTATTGCATGACAATCCCTACTCACTTGCATCGATATCAATTGATGGGCATCTCCATAGCCCATTAATTTTCCTAGCTGATGTGAGACTTTCTCCTTTTAGTCTTCTCCTCACAACCTCTATCATACTCTATTCCACCTATAGTGCTATATCCATGGCTCACGCTCATGTATTGCGTGAAAATTGAAAAAGCTTGAGAACATTAAAAGTATGAAACAATTGGTTAGCTTGTCATCGGGGTTGTGCATGATGAAATACTTTGTGTGATGAAGATAGAGCAGAGCCAGACTATATGAGTTTGTAGGGATAACTTTCTTTGGCCATGATACTTTGAGAAGACATGATTGCTTTATTAGTATGCTTGAAGTATTATTGTTTTTATGTCAATATTAAACTTTTGTTTTGAATCTCATGGATCTGAACATTCATGCCACAATAAAGAAGATTACATTGATAAATATGTTAGGTAGCATCCACACTTCATAAATTCTTTCTTTTATCATTTACCTACTCAAGGACGAGCGGGAATTAAGCTTGCTTATGCTGATACGTCTCCAAAGTATCTATAATTTATGAAGTATTCATGCCATGTTCGCCACAATTTTATATGGTTTTGCTATGATTTTATTAGAACTAACCCGGACTGACGCTGTTTTCAGCAAAACTACCGTGGTGTCATTTTTTGTGCAGAAATAAAAGTTCTCAGAATGGGCTGAAAATTTATGGTGTTTTTATGGACCAAAAGAGACCCCTGAAGTACCGGAGCTGGACCGGAAGAGTCCCGAGGAGTCCACAAGTAAGGGGTGCGCCCTACACCCAGAGCGTGCCTTGAGGGATTGTGGGCCCCTTGGGCACCCTGCTGACTTGTTTCCGACGCCACAAATTCTTATAAATATAGAAACCACTAGAAAGAAACCTAGATCGGAAGTTCCGCTGCCGCAAGCCTATGTAGACAAGAAAAACCAATCGGGAGCCCGTTCTGACACCGTGCCGGAGCGGTAAATCATCACCGGAGGCCATCTTCATCATCCCGGCGGTCTCCATGACGAGGAGGGAGTAGTTCACCCTCGGGGCTGAGGGTATGTACCAGTAGCTATGTGCTTGATCTCTCTCTCTCTCTCTCTCTCTCTCTCTCGTGTTCTTGATTTGGCACGATCTTGATGTACCGTGAGCTTTGTTACTATAGTTGAATCATATGGTGTTTCTCCCCCTCTACCTTCTTGTGATGAATTGAGTCTTGCTCTCTGAGGTTTCGTTATGTTGGATTGAGTATTGGATTTGAGAACACTTGATGTATATATGTCTTGCGATGGGATATCTGTGTTGACAATGGGATGTTCTATTGATTCACTTGATGTATGTTTTGGTACTCAACTCGCAGATCCTCGAGGTGACATTGGGGTAATCTATGCATAGGGGTTGATGCATGTTTTCGTCCCACGTTCTCCGATAGAAACTTTGGAGCGATTCTTTGTCTCATGTTGAGGGATTTCCATATAATTTAATTATGTTATCATTGTTGAGAGACTTTGCACTAGTGAAAGTATGAACCCTAGGCCTTGTTTCCAAGCATTGCAATACCGTTTTTGCTCACTTTTGCCACTAGTTACCTTGCTATTTTGATATTTCCATATTACAAAAACCTATATCTACTATCCATATTACATTTGTATCATCACCATCTCTTTGCCGAACTAGTGGACCTATACAATTTACCATTGTATTGGGTGTGTTGGGGACACAAGAGACTCTTTGTTATTTGGTTGCAGGGTTGTTTGAGAGAGACCATCTTCATCACACGCCTCCTACAGATTGATAAACCTTAAGTCATCCACTTGAGAGAAAATTGCTAGTCCTAGAAAACTCTCCGGTTGGAGGCCCAACACGAGTCTACAAGAAGAAGGTTGTGTAGTAGACATCAGTGGCGCGCCCTGGTGCCTAGTGGGCAGCAGGCCCCCCACCAGTGGGTGTTTGCTCCAGTATTTTATTTTGTTCCAAAATGAATCTCCAAAAAGTTTTGTCCAATTCCGGAAACTTCTATTTCTGCACAAAAACAACACCATGGTAGTTCTGCTAAAAATAACGTCTGTTCGGGTTAGTTTCATTGAAATCATGCCAATTAGAGTTCAAAACAAGAGCAAAAGTGTTTGGAAAAGTAGATACGATGGATACGTATCAACTCCCCCAAGTTTAACTCATTGCTTGTCCTTAAGCAATTCAGTTGACAAACTTAAAGTGACAAAGAAAAACTTTGACGAACTCTTTTGTTCTTGTATCCATATATATGCTTAAATAATACCCAGGTATTCACCAAAGATTATAACTAACCATGCAAATGACAACTCTTATTAATTATATTCACTCATATCAATGGCATAATATACTAGCGAGCAATAATAAAAAAATTGATGATGATGGGGCAGAGAGTACAAATTGATCTACATCGAGATCATATGAGTATTGTGTAAGCTCTAAACCTTGCAAAGGTGAATGTGTATGCCTCTATGGACTAAACCCACGACTTATATAGACGCCAAGGGTACCTAGGGTTTACAATGCCGGTTACAATGGAGGGATAAACATGCCAACTATTAAAATATGCTTGAAGTACACGCCAAGCCTCCTAGAGATCTTCATCTTGATTACACCGAGTGCCAGGGCCAACATGGCTCATTCATCATTCTTCGGTGGGTCCTCGGCCCGGCCCATAGCTGGCGGACCGATGTGGCAAACACCTCCTAATTCAGGACACTAACACTTGGCATGTAGGGATGACAATGTTGGGGCTTTAGTTTTGATAATGATACCAAGCTATGGGTTCTTGAGCTTTGGGTTGTGAAAACCCTATGTGTGGTCTTTATTTGGTTGAACCAAGAAATGCCGACCTCCATACGACACTTGAACCTTCTATCTAGGTTGAGAGTTTCTAATTTGGCCTTCAGTGATTGAAATCGAAAACAAGACATGTGAAGGTTGTTCTCCAAATGTGAGGGCTCAAGACCGCTTCCCCATGGTGATACCCACCGCAGCAACGGAACTTGGTCACTGTGTTTTTTTTCAATAATAATTTGGTCGTGTGCATCCTCGACGTCTCTATTGGTTCATCCGTCATATTGTTATAAAATGTTGATATAAGGAAATTGCTAATGGAGCTCGAGCTCCATGGAGCCTGGAATTTCAAAATTTCAAAAATCAAATCTTGGTAATTTAAAAAATTCTGAAAAAATTACACCTCTAGGTATGTTTTCCACATCTGTGTAAAGTTTCATGGTGAAATACATTATGATGTGAGCTATACAAAAAAATCATGTATTTTAGCACATGTATCATTCACTAAAAAGTCCATGATTTTGTTATTTTTGTGTAGATCACATAACAACGCATTTCATAATGAAAACTTACACACTTGTAGACACCATCGCTACGTGCATGTGTATTTTTCCATATTTTTTCAAAACTTTGAAATGTGATTTTTGAACTGCTCGAAATTTCAGGTTCCGTGTCGTCGATACATCCTTGTTGTCTTAAAAAACGGAGGGTATACAAGATGTAGAGCTACGCACATACGAACAAAGAGAGAGGCGAAGAATTGCATGCGTGGATTATTCTCGTACCAGCCATCTTTCCAAAACGAACAGGGATTACAAAAGCCAGTTCAGTAAGCAGTACGTAGCAGAATGAACCGCTAAAAACCACATGCAAGTGCAGCGCTGCTCGCACCTCCACCACCACCACCACCACCACTGGTACATGTGTGCGCGCCCACTTTGAGCAGGGGTGGGGAAGGAAGCAAAAGGCCTAGCCCGCCTTTGAACCAAATCAGAATTTTCAAGGAGCAATGGACCATGGTACTTGCTTTGCTTGCAACTTGCAACAACAACAGCACCGCCCACCACCACCGTTCTACATCCTCCATATGAATTCAGAGATATTTATTCTCTATGCCTACACTACACCAGCCAGCTGCCGCCGCCGCCGCCTCCCGGGAAGTGGAGTGGAATCCGACGTGCAACTTTGCAGCCGGCCAGCCAAGCTTTCCCTCCGATCCTGCGCCGCTTTACGCTCTCCTCTCCGTAGGAAAGCTCGGGCATCATCGAGCTCGCCACCTTCTTGATTATTTTTTTGTTCTTTTCCTTCTTCTTGTCTCCACTCGATGGCACGCGGGAATCAAACCAATCCAATCCGGCCGCACTGCCAATAACCGGTTGTTTGGCGGTGCGCCGATCATCAAAGAACTAAAAAAATCTAGAGAAATGGGAAGGAAATCGTGGGTGAAAACGGCCGGAGTTGCAACTGCTGCGACGACCAACTAATGGATGAAGCTCCGGCCGCGCGGCTGGACACCTAGGGAAAAACAAGCGCGGGCTTGGATCACCGGTGGACGGCCGGCAGCTCCAGCCTCACCCTCTTGTTGTTGCTCATCGCCGCCGCGACGGAGAAGGAGGCGGCGTCCAGGCGCGCGTATGTACTGTCGGCGTCGCCCCGGTCGGACGCCGATCTCTTGGCCGCCTTGCTCGGCGACGACGGATCGCGCAGCATCATGGTGTAGCAGGCATATACATCCTCCTGCGCACAACAACATCGGCCGTCAGGCGAACTGGTTTGACGACCCACTGGAAGGAGCTTTGAGTATGGTGGACGAGGACGAGCAAGTCACCTTCTCGAGGAGGCAGGTCGGGGAGAGGCTGCTGATCTTGGATTCCAGTGGCTCCCTCGTGAGCGTGCCGTGGGTGGCCGCCAAGACGGCGACGGCGGCCACGGTGGACGGCCGGTGGTCGAGCACGCTCGCCACTGCAAGAACAGAGCACGGTCAGTTGATACAAGCAGAGCACGGTCCATGGATCGATGTGGTTGTCAAGTAACCAACCTTCGGCGGCGGAGAAGATGAGGGCGGCGGCCTTGACGGCGATGAGGCCGCCGCCACCTCCGCGGCCGCCGCCGTTGAATCGCCGGAGCCTGGAGGAGAGGCAGGGGAGATAGTCGAAGGGCGTGACCGCGCCCATCCGCCAGTCGAGCGTGGAGAGCACGAGCATCTCCATGCGGCGGATGGAGTCGCAGCTGAAATCGTAGTCGTCGTCGGCGCGGAACTCCGACAGCGCCGGCGCCTGGCACTCATCCATCTTCGCCGCCAGCGACACGCACGCGATGGCCAACAGCCGCGCCGCCCACGGCATCACCGACCTCTGCACGCACGCACGCACACGAACCAAAGAATCAGTGACCGGTCTCCGCGTGGTTCAAGAAACAGAGGAAGCTAAGTGGGATCAATGGATGGCGATTGTGGACGTACGTCGACGCATCGCCGGAGGGAGAAGCGGTCGAAGTAGGCAATCGCCACGTACGCCGTGCGGTGGGAGAACCCGAAGTGCCCGCGCGTCTGCAATGGCGCCGGCGAGAGATGTCAGGGGCTCTGTTTCACCATCAAAAAACCAACGGATGCAGATATATAGACGCGTCTGTTGGATCGATGGTTCACCTCAAGGATCCACCGGACGGTGTCGCGCCGCGCGCACTGGAACCAGTCCTCGGACGCCATGGAAGACGACGGATCGACGGAGCAGAAGCTGCTCTCCTTGGACACCAGGTGGTCCAAGTACCCCTCCTCGTCTTCCTCCTCGCCGCCGTTATCGTCGCCGGCACTGTACACCAGCAGCAGCTTGCCGGCGTCGTCGTCGGCGAGGCCGTCGCCGAGGTCGGCGCCGTCCTCTTGGCACATGAGGGAGAAGCAGCACCCGGCCGCGTAGTCCTCGGCTTCCATTCTCGATCCGCTCCGTGCTTCCGTTATGTACACTCCGCCGGACGGTAGCACTGGTGGGCTTTGTCAAAGTACCATGAGGGTTAGGATCCGGACGGGGAAAGGCCGCCGGAGCTGGCAGTGGGAGTGGAGAAGGGGGGAGAAGGCAGGGCGAGGTGGCCGCGCCTCAAGCGGTCAAGCCGCTGCCCTCTATTTAAGGAAAAAAAAATTATATGAGACCAGGTCTCATATAAAACAGGTGAGACCCGTCCTGATGGATGACACGTGGCATTCACAAATCACAAAGTATCTAATCTTTCCCCCCTGATTTCAGGTGGGGGGGTGAGGTAGATGCTTTGTGATTTGTGAATGTCACGTGTCATCCATCAGGATGGGTCTCACCTGCTAAACCGTGAGACCTGGTCTCATAGAATTATTTTCCCTATTTAAGTGGCTCTCGCAGGCTCGCCACACTGCACTGCGGCACGCACGACGCTCTTCTGATATTTCTGAATTTTCTCCCTCTTTGAATGACCTTAAGCCTTCTTGTTTGGTCAAGATGCATTCCTCAAGATTCGAGCAAATTCATAATGTCACCGTGACTAGCCTGCACTTTCCCGGTAGGTGCAGATTCGGTGCTGCAAAACCGGGCTTGCTACGGAAATTAAATGTCGCGCACATTCTTTTTTTAACACAGTTGCTTGTAAATACGCATATATATATTTACCCCTATGAACGCACGGCACATCCTACCTCTGTGGACACCTCCAACGGACTAAGATTGATGAAGTCACCATTGACGTCTCGTAGTCGACGAGGACATCTTCTCCTACTAAACATGTATCGTCGGAAATTCTGAAATTAATTGAATGTCATACACATTCGAATCCTATGGAATTTCGTTCGTCTGATTGCGTCACACGGAAAACAAAGAATTGTTTCTCCGTATGGCCTCTTCGATTCATAGGTTTTTTTTATAGGATATATGGGTAGCTTTCTGGTGTTTAATCAGGTGGGTGGATGTAAGGCCCTTCTGAGTGCTTCATCGTGGACAGGTGTTAAGCATGTCACATAAGCAAAAAAATGACATGACACAACAATTAGGCTGGTCATAGTGGGGAGTAACTTATACTAGTGTCATGCATATGACATTAGTCTAAATTACTACCTCCATAGTGCAAAATAATATAGTAGTAGTGTCATAGGTTGCTTCATTTATTAGCTCATAGACTCATTTTGCCACTGGAAGCGCTATGTTACGGTAACATATTATGTTACCACAAACACCTCTTTTCTCATTAAATACTTGCCACATAAGTAAAATTGTTTTGGGTGTGTTAAGTTACTACCTAAGTTACCCCCACTATGGCTAGCCTTAAGAAGGAGAGAGAGAGAGAAAGAGAGAGCACTTTGATGACCCCCAAAAAGAACCAGTGCCAAACATGTGAACCTAGGCAAATCACTTAAATGAAAGAAGTTGACCGATGCATGAAAAAAGTTTAGGTGGTAAATCATTAAATAAATTGAGATTAACAACAACAAAAATTAAGCACCCATGCATTGAGAAATTGAGTTTTTTAAGTACATTGAGAAATTGAGTTGTTAAGCTATTTAATGCACTTAGCACCTCATCTAAGCACCTTTGCATTGAAAGTGGTCTAAAAGACTCGGGAGTTATAAATTAGGTGGACGTGGAGCATCATTTAGACGCATGTATGTTTAACTGTACGGTGGTGGTTTTTTTTTCACCCTCTCTTCTTTAATATATGATACTCACACTCGTGTGTATCAGAGAGAAAAGGCTTTCTAGGTTTTCCAAAATTAGGGGATTGAAGAAAATACATCATTAGGGTGGCATGTCCTCTTGGATCCTGCATGATTATAAAACAACAAGAATTTGGATCAAATATTGTAATGCCATAGAAAAAACAAAGGAATTGTAAACAGAAATTTGAGTGTATGAAAATTTTCTCCTAAATAGAGTGCAAAACAATCCGTATAGGGGATATTGATGACCTGCAAGGGCACATGGCTATTGCAATTCACGGTAAAGAGAGTATGTCGATCCTACATGGAGCGGTGGTTGCACTGATAACTACCAACCCCGTAGCTACGTCGTCATTTACGTGGCTACATTCACACCCAGAGCATTATCTGAAAATAGTCTATTAATTCTAAACCCAATTTCACCAAGTTGGAATATAAGGAAGACAATTCTTACTACCAAGAAAGACTCAAATGGATTTGTGAGTCCGGTTCATATTGGGACTGAGGGAGTCCTGGATTAGGGGGTGTTTGGATAGCCGAACTATACCTTCAGCCGGACTCCTGGACTATGAAGATACAAGATTGAAGACTCTGTCCCGTGTCCGGAAGAGACTTTCCTTGGCGTGGAAGGCAAGCTTGGCGATACGGATGTTCCGATCTCCTACCATTGTAACCGACTCTATGTAACCCTAACCCTATCCGGTGTCTATATAAACCGGAGGGTTTTAGTCCGTAGAACAACATACACATCAACAATCATACCATAGGCTAGCTTCTAGGGTTAACCTCTCTGATCTCGTGGTAGATCAACTCTTGTAATACCCATACCATCAATATTAATCAAGCAGGACGTAGGGTTTTACCTCCATCGAGAGGGCCCGAACCTGGGTAAAACTTCGTGTCCGCTGCCTCCTGTTACCATCCGGCCTAGACGCACAGTTCGGGACCCCCTACCCGAGATTCGCCGGTTTTGACACCGACATTGGTGCTTTCATTGAGAGTTCCTCTGTGTCGTCGCCATCAGGAAGGATGCCTCGCCCCGTCTTTAAAGACGGCACCGTTGCTAAGGGAGCTTTGGCTGTCGGCCAAACCCTCCGGCTAGGTGGTTTTCTTATGACCACCTGTTCAGCTTCTACGCCGATGATGACCTCTCGAGCCATCGAAAACAATCTTCATGTCAACTCGGAACTTGCCGAGCAGTTAGATCCAATAGAACTTTCCTCCATAAACGAGCTCTTGGATCGCTTCGCCGCCCTGGGAGTCGCTACGGATTACGACCAGATTGGGCCTAAAACCGATCTGAGAAAGATTAACTCTCCCCAAGCCACCCACCACGTTGCCGTGGTAGAGGGACAGTGCGGCGACCCTTCATCTATCCTAAGGACTCGCTACGTCCGGATTCCCGATCCCTCCAAGCCGGATGTCCGCGGAGGGGAGGATATCACTCAAGACCTGAACCTAGAATCAGGCGACGGACTGGATTCATTGGATGACATCCAGGAATCCAAATTTTCGAGTTCGGAAATTCCTCGGCCTCTGAGCCTCAGAAGGGGTAAGGCTTCGGATTTAATTCCACCCACCCACCCAAACATTAGCGATCTATCCCAAATCAGGCAAGAGCCCAATGAAACAGTACATCATTACTGGGCCAGATTCCTCCTGGTTATGCACAGGATAAAGGGCTGTTGCGAGGAAGACGCAATTCTATCCTTCTGCAATAATTGCACGGACAAGGGAATACTCAACGCCATAAGTCGCCGTGATATTACACGCTTCGCTGACTTAGCATCCATAGTACGAAAGTATTGTGCGATAGAAAGTGCTCGGAAAACCGAAACAAAATTTTGGGACAATCCGGCCCTTAATGCAAGCCCAGTCCGAAACAAAAGGGTGCATCATCGCCAGACACCCGGGTCAAACACCAAAAAGCAAAAACCCTCTACAGGGCATGGAACCATACTGGAAGGATGGCTTAATGGACCCTGTAAAATTCATAGCACAGAGGACGCCACACCAACTCACAGCCTTAGAGCATGTTGGATACTCCGGCAGGTGGCCAAGATCGGCGAGAACCTCCTAATCCCGGAGATCACAGAAAGCCACCCCAGAGACACCAATATGGTACTAACAGTCTTCGAGACCTTCGCATCAAATAATATGCGAAAAAGGACACTCCGCAGCCTTGCCGAAGTCTACCAAGTAGCAACAGTAAACCCGTGGAGTGACACGGCCATTACCTTCAACGCCAGTGATGAACCTAAATTCCGAACAGCCCGAGCACCAGCCGCATTGGTCCTCAGTCCAATAGTGGACGGCTTTCGTCTCACCAAGATACTCATGGACGGCGGCAGCGGATTGAACCTCATCTATGAGGAAACCCTCCAAAAAATGGATATAGACTGGAACCGCATCACGCGAAGCAGCACAACCTTTAGAGGAATAATCCCCAGTCGGGAAGCGCGCTGTACAGGAAAAATCACACTAGATGTGGTGTTCGGCACGCCGGACAATTAAAGGTCCGAAGAAGTCACGTTCCACGTGGCCCGTTCAGCAGTGGTTATCACGCTTTGCTAGGGCGGGAAGCATTCACAATCTTCCAAGCAATACCCCATTACGGGTACATGAAGCTCAAGATGCCCGGGCCTAACGGGATCATCACTCTCGCTAGTGATCCGGATGTAGCACTCCGCGCCAAAAACAAGACAGCCGCACTGGCCCTCGAGGCACTATCCGAAGCCCTAGTAGCCGAGGAACTGACTGCGCTGCGCTCTACCATGAATAGGGACGATGTGGTACTCGACAAAAGATCCAAGTCCACCTCCTTTAAACCAGTGGACGAAATAGTCAAATTCCAAGTCCATCCAACGGACCCCAACAAAACAGCTTCCATCGGGGCATAGTTAAACCATGATGTCGACGCTGCATTGCGAGTGTTCCTATGGGAGAACTGGGACATTTTCGCCTGGCATCCTTCGGACATGCCAGGAATCCCACGCAGGCTGGCCGAGCACAACTTAAATATCCAAACAGGATTCAAACCTGTCAAACAGGCTCTTCGGCATTTTTCCGAACCTAAGAGACATGCTATGGGAGAGGAGCTAGCAAAGCTATTGGAGGCCGGATTCATCAGAGATATAAAACATCCGGACTGGCTAGCAAACCTGGTGATGGTACCAAAGAAGGACAAATCCTGGCGCCTGTGTGTCGATTTTAAAGACCTCAACAAGGCTTGCCCAAAGGATCCCTTCCCTCTCCCC